TCCTTACCAGATGCCTGAGCCACCTCAACTGGCTCCTCTCRACGTGGAGGAGCAGCGGCTCTACTCTGAGTCCCTAATAAATACATATAAATAATAAAAATATAGCCAAAGATGCAATAAAAGCTCAAAGTAGCAAAAGACTGACTAAAATGTGCAAAAGCTTACAAAGATAAAATTTGCCAAATGTTAGCTAGATGCTAAAAGATGCATAAGGCTGGTTTGAATAGATCAAAGTAGCAGGTTGGTAACCCAAACTTAAAAGTGGCTAAAACCAAGTCAAAAGTAGCAAAAAATTTGCTAAAAGGTAAAAGAAGCTAAAAGAATAACTAAAAGCATAAAGTAACATAATGTAACTAAAGATAAATATTCGACGGCTATAGCTAAAATCCAAAAGTAGCAAAAAACTAGCTAAAAGCTAAAAGTAGCAAAAACTAGTCCAAACTAATATTAGAATAGTAGCTAAAGGTTGCAGGAAATAGGAGTTATCTCCTTATTGAGTTGAATGTTTTGATATGAATGAGTAAGATAGCACAAAGTCAGCAGACGTTGTTCAACAGGAAGGTATGTGCCAACAAAAACATGAAAACAATAGTACAAATGTTAAAAAAAAACACGTTTACTCAGTAGTGACAAATGAAGTGATGCCTGAAGTGCATTATTGTTCAAGCATGAATCACTAGAAAAAACTTACAGGTACGTGACTTTTAACTCGTATCATTTGTACTATTTTTAAGTTGTTCAAAATAACTACTTTGTGTTAAATTGTGTCTTTTATTTCATGTGTTGGTCATATACAGCATGGGTTGTATATTATAGCCTGTACTTTGTCGTTTGGCGTTAAAGGTTTTTTATATGTTTTTGTCAAAATGGCCATGTAATACAGTATTTTAACCATGAGCAGTTAGTTTAACACAGAGACAATTGTTAGTTGCTTTTACTGAATTTTCATTCTRTCCAGTGTCTAATGTGTTTTCTCATTCCTTCAGACCCATAACTTACTATTCAGGACAGTTTGATGAGAACCGCTTCTATGTTCTGCACCAAGACTTCATGCGATACATACGAAACAGGTCAGTCTTTCATCACAATGCAATCCAAACCAGAGGTTTAACYACTAACTAAAATATTACAAATGTAAACCTTTGGTTCCAGACTTGAAATATATTATATAGTCCATAAAATAAGCTGACAGCTGAGTCTAACTTGAAGAACTGTTTTTACCCTCAACAAACCTTTGTGTAGTTGTTTAATTTACACTATTTCAAAACACTTAGCTTCTGATTGGGTGTCGTGTTTCTGAATTAACTGTTTTTTGTTCGAGTTTTCTAGTCCCCCAGGGCATTGTGCTTGGAGAAAAATTCTTTAAAGTTTTTACAGACACTCCTGCTACATACGAAATGAAACAAACAGGTTCATCTGAAAGTACAAAGCCAAAGCTAAGTTGAGTATGCAGTTCAGTTGTGTTAGGAATATTTTGACTTTTAGAAGCTCTGTCCATGTAGAATAAAGGAAAATTCTTCAGAGGTTAAAGGGATATTCCAGCTATGTTTGAATTGATCTGTCAAATAGCTACCAGTAGTTTGTATTTTATGGAGCAGTTTAGAGAAAGGGGTTAAAGTCTTTTGTCTTCCATCAGAGCGTAATAAAGATGGCAGTTAAAAATGGTGTATGCTTACTAAAATGATCTAAACCTGTTTCCTTTTTTTCATGGCCTACAGGTTCTTAAAATCATGGACTCTGAATACAACAACCTGGCCAATTGTCCGACCATCCAATGGGGCTTTCACTATTTTTTTGGCCTTGCACACCTGTGATACAGTGAGTGTGTTTGTTTTGTTTTGTGTAATTTCCTGTTTTTATATTTAGCACTTCATTTGCATTTAAGAGGGAGATGCCTCATTCTTCTTTGAAGCAGCTGTGTTCACCTGCTCACCTTTTCCAACATTGATGACGCTGAGTGAGATCTTTAATAAAACAAAATATGCCTTCTGTCTGTGCCATTGCAGCAGGTTTATTTGGTGAGATCAGGTTTGATGAGATAATTTTCTTAGAAAGAATTTTGACTAGTCACACCAAGAAAAACATAGTTAACAACATCAGCCAAATGAAGTGGTTCATGCATTTTGATTAAAGACCTCCAGGTTTTTGTGTTTGTCATCTGCTACTGGGAAGAAAACCCAAGATTTAATGGGGCATGTACGCATACTCCCTATCATAATAATGATAGGTTGTTTAGGTTTCTGACTGGTTGGTTTTTACAGTAAATTTCTGCCTGGCTGGCTGGTTGGTTGTTGATGATGGATTGTATAGGTTGGTTGGTTGGTTGGTTGGTTGGTTGGTTGGTTGGTTGGTTGGTTGGTTGGTTGGTTGGTTGGTTGGTTGGTGGTGGTGGGCTGTATAGGTTTGGTTGGTTGGTTGGTTGGTTGGTGGTGGGCTGTATAGGTTGGTTGGTTGGTTGGTTGGTTGCTGGTGGGCTGTACAGGTTGGTTGGTTGGTTGCTGGTGAGCTGTACAGGTTGGTTGGTGGTTGTGTGCTGTATAGGTTGGTCAGTCGGTTGGTTGGTTGCTAGTGGGCTCTATAGGTTGGTTGGCTGGTTGGTGGTGATGAGCTGTATAAGCTGGTTGGTTGGTTAGCAGCATCAATCCGATGCTTTTCCCTAGATCTAAAACCAGCCCGACCAGATGCCCTGTTACTGATCAGTAAATATCAAACGTATAACTACAACCAAYAACTGCAAACTGAGGTGTCTTTGGTTCACTGCTTTTGAATGATMGTTGAATGTGTTATAATATAAAAATATGTTCTCCTGTGATTTTAAAAATAYCTTTGCATAATTCTCCTGATCCTTGAAGTCTGCTTTTGTCATTCACAGGTGAGTGCGTATGGATTCATGACTGACGACTACAAAAAGTACTCCAACTACTATGTTGAAAAGCACCTTAAAACCAATGTCATTTTATACCCCAACCACAATTACATTATGGAGAAGAACCTGTGGAAGACACTCCATGATAAAAACATAATAAAGCTGTTTCTAAGGACTAAATCACCAGAAGGAACCAAAAAGCCAATGCAGAGTTGACGGATTKGTAGTTTTAGTAACAAGATCAAGAATTGAGTCGATCTGTTTAGCATTCTTAAAAAATACAAAACACCAAATTATTTTCCAATAATGAGCTTTTAGGAACATTTTTTGATGAGTGTATTTGACTGCAGCACTTAAATGATATGGTAAAGTGAATGTGAAAGGTACAGGTAAACAGTAATTTTAACATGAAGTCATCTGAATATAGTCATTGTGAGATGAAGTCAAGCCATGTGGTTTGACAAAATGCAACAAAATAAGCTGCAAAAATGAAGATGTATTTATTTATTTATTTTACCTTTGTGCATATGTGTTGGACCACTTTCTAAACAASTCTGTCATCAAAAATTGTGGTAAGAAAGCAAATTTTAAATTGTTTTTATGTTCATATATATGTATACAAAATCTAGTAAGTTTTATAAAATTGTGTGTGGTGAAATAAAATTCACTTTTTGTTATATTTTGTGCAAAGAATCACATTGCATATGCCAGAATTTTAGACTAAAACATTCTTATGTTGAAATGTTAGGTGGAAATCTTGTGCAGAATTGCAAGACATTGCGCTCAGAGTATTTGTTGGGGATGACTCTCAGCTACTATCGTGAAATGTAAGCTCCGTGGCTGTAAAACTGATTGAGTTATTGAAATTTTTGTGTTGGCTTCTGTAAATAAGATGTGGCAGCCATAATTGAGKTGTAGGCTTACATCCAATTTCATTCAAATTGGTCACGTTCATAAGATGTTTTGCCAATAGACGCACTAAAATGTTGAAGGCACAAAACACTTGATTGACATCAATGAAAGCTCATTTTTTTGTGTGGGTTTAATTGTTTTCAGTTTTTGTGTTACATCATATTTATATCATTTTAAATTGTKGTTGTGTTTATATGGACTGAATGTTCAGTGATTCTAAAACAAAAAAAAAACGAAAACTGTATTAATAGGACAATATAGTCATGTGGGACGCAGAAGTTGGGGATTCATTCATATAGCCTATTAGTTTACCAGTCAAATGTCAAAATGTCCCCTCATATATAAACTTCAACAAATAAATAGCACAAGACTTAGTTTGGATTTTTGAGTTATTCTTTCCACTCCAAAATTTCAGGTAGATGCAGGAAGCTTTTCAAGTCTAAAGCGGGGATTTTATCGAGGAGGCGGATGTAAGCCGTCGAAAAGTAGGAAAACTAACCCAGTCAAGAACTACTTTGGTAAATCGTTTGCATTCATATATTTTAAATAAGCAAATGGCACTAAAATTGYGAATGTGAGAAAATAATTTTGAATTACAGCGTAAAGAAGAGGAAAGTAAGAAATGATGCCTATTATCCATCATGCATTGCGCTTCAAMTCAAAATGTTTACAAATAAGTGTTGTGTTTTAACATTAAAACACAGTTCTGTGCTGATTTAATCATTTTTTAAATTCCATAGTTTTATCTTAGCTTTAAGTAGTAGTTAATTGTTCATAAAGTTCGACCGTCATCTAAAATAGCGTTACGGACATATGACATATCAGCGTTTCTTCTGCTTTATTATACTCTTGATTCTCTTCAGATCATGTAAATCTTTTGCCTTTTACTAAAGATTTCCGTGGAGAGGATTAGTAAGAGATTATCTCAATTTTTGATGCCCTGCTTGTGCAGGGCTTCTCTTAATTGTTCAAGGAAAATATTATTAAGAGGTGAACGTTACTGGGAAATTCAGTACCGATCTGATACCAAGTAAACACAGGGCCAGTATAGCCGATATCGATACCGATACTTTTCAAGCTTCATAATTTGATAAGATCCATAAGATCTAGGATAGAAATTCGCCAAACATTGTACGTGACAACAAAATACTTTATTATAACCATATTTTTGCTTGTCAACAATAAAGCAGTATCAAACCAGTTTCCTTTAACATCAGGAAAATAAATCTTTTATACAAAAATAAAATAAAAATTCTTCCCTCACCACTAGACATCTTTCCTAG